ATGGGGGGATGATGGATGGAGATGGGTGATGATGGTGTGATAAGCGGTTGGAGTCAAGTGTGAAGTTGCTGCAGCAGCCCCCGGTTGCGCGTGCCGTGGCACATCACGTGCTGAAGCAATATGCGGTCCTCCTGAGGGGATGATGATGGGTGAGAATCGGTGACAATGGTTGATGATGGGTGCACATAGGCAGCAGTTGATTGCTACGAGTCAAGCTAGCAGAACCCAGCTGTGGATTCAGCAGCGTGTGCCATGGCGCATCACGTGCGGGAGGAATATCAGGTCCTCATGCTGGGATGATGGTTGATGGATGATGCATGGATGGTGCATGGATGGCGCATGGATGGCGCATGGATGGTGCATGGATGGTGCATGGATGGTGCATGGATGGTGCATGGATGGCGCGTGGATGGTGCATGGATGGCGCATGGATGGTGCATGGATGGTGCATGGATGGTGCATGGATGGTGCATGGATGGCGCATGGATGGTGCATGGATGGCGCATGGATAGTGTATGGATGGTGCATGGATGGTGCATGGATGGCGCATGGATGGTGCATGGATGGCGCATGGATGGTGCATGATGGTGCATGGATGGTGCATGGATGGTGCATGGATGGTGCATGGATGGCCTATGGATGGTGCATGGGTAAGAGTTGGAGGATAGATGCAGCTGGGAATTCTGGAGTGTCAGACGGAGAGTGTGCGTGCGTGGTTAACCCACATACACTTGGGTTAATCATACACAAGGGGCCGATCACGTGATAATATCAGACCAATCAGGGATCATTACGATGCACATATTAGCGCCTAGAGCCGTCTCAAAGCTCAATAAAATCGATTCTGTGACAGGATTGGATGGCGGCGCAGGAAGTAACGCACCTGATTGCTCCAGCGAATGAAACTGCTCTGGTGGGATCGAGGAGCTGTTCCACGCACTGCCACGTGGCGACACCGCCGCCATTGACGGGCGGAAGCTTGAGGAAGCCACTGCTAGGGGAGGCGCTGCTCGGAGAGGGCTGCTTGGGTAGGCGCTTGCTAGGGGCGGCACTGCTTGGGGCGGCACTGCTTGGGCCGGAATTACTCGGGGCGGCACTACCGGGGGAGGCGCTGCTTGGAAAGCAGCTCCTTGGAACGCAGCTGCCCGGAAAGCTGCTGCACGGAAGGCGGCAGCTTCCTGGAAAGCAGCTGCCTGGAAAGCGGCAGCTTCGTGAAAAGAAGCTTCTTGGAAAGACGCGCTGCCTGTCAGGGTGTTGTGAGACGGCGGTGGTGGCCTGGCGCCGTTGCTGCCGCTGCCTCCATGGTACGGCGATCGGATTGGCTGATTCGGATCGGTGGCTTTCTGCCTCATCTTCGGGCTTCAAGAAATCTGTATGTTATCCACTCTCAATGGTACTTAGAGCTCTGGTACTTGGTGCTCCCCACTGGCACTTAGAGCTGATCCACCCTCACTGCTACTTGGAGCTGTATGGGATTCCACTCACAGTGATGCTTAAAGCTGTATGGGATCCACTCACAGTGATACTTAAAGCTGTATGGGATCCACTCACACTGATACTTAAAGCTGTATGTTATCCACTCTGTCACTTATAGCTGTATGTTTATTCACTCCAAATCTCCTCATCAGGTCTTCTCCTCACCAGGTTTCATCCCCACCAGGCCTTTTCTCCAAATCTCCTCTAACCAGCTTCTCTCAGCAGGCCTCCTCACAAGGTCTCCTCACCAGGTCTCCTCACAAGGACTCCTCACCAGGTCTCCTCACAAGGACTCCTCACCAGGTCTCCTCACAAGAACTCCTCACCAGGTCTCCTCACAAGGACTCCTCACCAGGTCTCCTCACAAGAACTCCTCGCCAGGTCTCTCTTACCGCTTCACCTTACCCGGGGTCACCTATGGGGCTTCTGTAACTACAACTAGTAGGTGCTGAGGTTACGTGCCTGCCGCTGCCTAGGGGTATGAGTTCGTTAGCCGTCGATATAAGGAAGGCTTCGGACGCATTGTCTGGTGTGTGAGAGAGAGAGAGGAGGAATCCAACGTTTTTTTTTCTATTTTCGAAGAGGAGTTCAGTAAAATAATCGACAGGTATAAGTACTATTAGCGAGGAAGCCTCCTCCTGAATCAACTTGAATCAGTGCCAAGTTGTTCCAATGTCAGAAGGTTGGGTTGTTGAACGCGCTTGGACTACACAGCTTCTGATCAAACTCTGGCTTACAAACGCGTAGTTTGGACTAACACCTCGTCAGTCGTCTCGCGCTGATTTGAAAACACCTAGCGTGGACGAGTAATAGAGAATAATGGGAACTTGAGAGTGGCACCATATACATGAATACGACATCGCGGGACTACGGCCTCGAAACTGGACGGCTCGATGCATTCAGGTCCCGTGCTGACATGATTAACTTTCAGGGGTTCGACGAATCGTTCGGTGCGTTCGGTTAGGTAGGAGAAGGCTATTTCGTGCCACGCGCCGCAAAAAAGGAGGAACAGGGACGAATCTGCTGCTAGTGCGGCTGGTTCTGCCAATAGTAGGTAGTAAGGCTGACAGTTGTGAGCGCATGAGAAAGAAATTTCGAGCGAAGTCCATCTAAAAAGCTCGAGTGGATGTGGCGAGTTGAGCCAACTACTAAGTGTTTTCCGGCAGCACTTTGCTGATAGAATGCACATTGCAGACTTGCAAGTGCTAGCGTAGGAGTCTATGTGTCAACAGAAAGTCTCAGAAGTGAAAAATTACGAATCTCTGTGGATCGAGTGTCAAGCGCCATTTGCACAACTGCTCCAAAAGCTGCAGCCAGTTTTGGATCAGATGAGTCAGGGGGAACGACCTTTTTCCTAAATGTGAACGAGGTGAACGCGAGCGTAAATGGTGACACCACCGTAGCGTCGACGCCATGGCTGGTTTCTTTCTGCCGGAATGTGATTGCACTGTGTACAGCAGAGAACATCGCAGTGCGGAGCTGAAGACGGAAATGGGGGTTCGCTTCACAGTCTCTCGCACGCCCCTTCCCGTCACAAAGAGCTTTCGTTCAAGCTGTACAGTACGCTCGGAATCGATTCATTCTTCCTGCCTTCCCTTCCATCCCCCTTTCCGATAAAACCAAGCAAGGTCACCCAAACCGAGACAGATCGCATGCCCGTGCCCGACAATCGCGTGACCGATAGCGCAAAATGGCCGATTCGGGACCCCTATCGTGTACAGAGTTTATTTCAGAGTGTATTTCTTTCTTGAAAAATAAATAAATTACAGGGGTATTTATTAAATGCTTCACGTTTTAGACTTTGACATCACATCACACACGTTGTTGTCAGAACCCTCTCCCTCTTGCAAATTTGCATAACCATTTGTTTAAGTGCCGCCGCACTCTCACGGAACCACCCTCAACCTCTCGAAGCTTAGATTCAAGCTATCTCGTTGCTCCGCGTGCGAAGCAGAGGGACAAAATACCTGACGTAGCAGGAGCACGCCATTCTCAGGCGGTCATATGAGAGGCTGGCGCGTGCCCCCTGCAATGATGAAATATTTTTCGTAACCCTCCATAGGCCCGCTGAAGATGGGCCGTGGAAAAGCGTCAGCAAGCTGATTCGGCATAAAATATCACCCGCCAAGGCCTCAAAAATCAGGGAGGATACATCGGGGGAGCTGCACACGGCATCGGCAACAGAAAGCAACAAGTCCAGTTCCCAGACAGAACGTTTTTTATCGGGTATGTGTCCCAAAACAGTTCAAGCCATCCCGTACAATCAACTATGATACCCAATCACCGAGAGATGGAGGGGTGGCAATCCTACTTCCCCACAGTTTCTTGAGGGTGTGGAATATGCCGGCCACGCTCCCATCATTCCACATTCTTAGTCGTACTGTATACACTTAGCTGATGGAAAGCTTCACATAATCAACCCTCTAAGGAACAGTCAAGGTTTACCCCCTCAGGACCTGCACTGACGTCCTTTCCATTGTAGGAGGGCCAATCACAGTCAGCACTTGAGTCATCGCAGCTGTAACACAGTTCCTTTAGCTGGCATTCAGCAGGTGCGATCAGCTACACTCTCCGAAACGACACTATCGCTGAACGTGGTCCGCATTGTTTTACCAGGTTCATCCATGTCCACGCGCATGAACCTTGGCACCGCAATTTCCATAGCAGTTGCGAGAACGGACGATTGTGTACGTGTACAGTTCAATATCCGTCAAAGATGGATCGGGGCCTAGAATTGAGGCTGTTTTTGTGAGCAGCTACATGTGTGAACATTTCACGTGTGAAAATGATGCTCTAGTCATTCTATTTCGCTATTTCGCTAGGCAGCAACCCCCTCGGCAAATGCGGAGGCACATGCCCCCCCGGCCCCATGCCTCATCAACTATTTCGCTACGATAAAGAGTTGCTCCATAAAAGTCCACAAAGAACTGCAGAGGCAGGAAAGGCTTAGTGAAAGGAAACTGCCAGCGTTTATGCTAGCCTCTCAGAACAGAACTCCCTCTAAACCTCACAATTGCTTTGTTTTCATGCATTCATCGCCATCACATGAGCTTAACTAGAGTTATCTCACACTACAAACGTTAACGAGGGCCATTTTGTAAAACAACCACGAGATGTGGAACAAACAAACAATTGGCATGAGCTGCTGTTACAAGATCGGCCCTTCGCATGTAACGACAAACCAGAGCCACCCACATCGCTACATACCATTGGTGCCATGGCGTTTAGTGCCACATTCAGAGCAGAACTTAGAGGAATCCCTAACATATGTGGCCCCACACTCGTCACAATACTTCGCAAGAGCGGCTGCTGCAGCAGCTGCTGCTGCCGCTGCTGCAGCTGAAGACTGCTGCACACAGCCATAGGGTGTCTCCCCACACTCCGCCTGAGGGGGGACAAAAGTGGGTGAAAGAGGAGCACACAGCTTATCTGCATAGAAAGCATAGCTGTTAAGCTGCTGCAGCTGAAACAGCAGCATGGATATTCAGCCATAGGTTGAATCTCCACAACCATTCACGAATCCTTTACCATTTGGAGACATACTCCATACAGACACAACCATTAGTGGTCAGAATCCCAACCTCAATGCACTTACCGGGGTGAGAACCATGGCCAGGTGATGCGACCCAGAAGGCAACAACCCCCTCGGCAAATGCAGAGGCACATGCCCCCCCCGGCCCCGTGCCCTGCTGCCCCTCCCCCTCCTGTAGATGCCCCAACGGACCACCAGACCCATGGGGGGAGATGCCCCAGAGGCATTCCCCACCTCCAGATCCCATCTAAGTTGACTAAAAAAAAACTCCATTCACTTACCGGGGTGAGAACCATGGCCAGGTGGTGCGACCCAGAAGGCAGCAACCCCCTCGGCAAATGCGGAGGCACATGCCCCCCCGGCCCCATGCCTTGCTGCCCCTCCCCCCCCTGCAGGTGCCCCAATGGACCCCCAGGCCCCTGGGGGAGATGGCCCAGAGGCATTCCCCCTCCCGGCCCCATCTGCTGGTGCCCAGGCATCCCCCCCTGCTGGGGGTGCCCGTGGGGAGGGCCTGGGGGGAGAGGGATGGCGCTCCGGTTGGATGGTGGATTTGGAGGTGGATTCCTGCTGCTCCGGCTTGGTGGTGCGGTGGGACGGATTGGAGTGCAGGGTTGCCGGTTAGGTGTGGGGAGGGCTGCTGCTGGTTGGGCGGCCGTTGCTGCTGTTGTTGCTGCTGCTGCTGTTGTTGCTGTTGCTGTTGTTGTTGCTGGTGGTGTTGGTGCTGTTGGTGGTGCTGGTGCTGGTGTTGCTGCTGGTGCTGCTGCTGCATCTGTTGCTGCATTGACGGGTCCGATGGATGGTGCTGGGACGAATCCGCCATGACCATAGCCTGCACCATGGGAGGGGGAGTGGGGGGGGGGGAGGAGGGGGAAGGAGGATTGGAATAATCTATCACGGTTGACTCCCATCCCAAGGAGTCCGCCATCCCCATCCCAGGAGATGCATGCATTTGCATGGCGTGGCATGGCGTGGCGTGGCCTGGCGTGGCATGGCGTGGCATGGCGTGGCGTGATGTGGCATGGCACAATGCCACCCACAGCAGCAGTGAGCTCAGAGGCACGTCAAAATCACCTCGCCCCTCTACCCTCCTCGCCCAATTCCATCTAAACCCCTCTGAATCATCTCCTCCCTTTCCCCCCATGCTCCCACCATCCTTACTTACCATATGGTGCATGGGAGCAGCGAGTTCAGCTGGGTTCGCCACAGAAACAGCAGACACGGACGCCTGAGGCACCCTCTCGGTCCCTTCCCCCACCGCTCCGCCCCCCTTCCCCTCTTTAGTTCCCGCCCTTACCATGTGGTGCATGGGAGCAGCGAGTTCAGCCGGGTTCGCCACAGAAACAGCAGACACGGACGGCTGAGGCACCCTCCGGGGTTTGGGCCGCGGCGTGAAGTACTTGAAGTCCCGCGGGTATATTGCCACCTCATGCCGCCCGGTTATCCTCTTGAACCTGCGAGAGGGGAGAGGGGACGTGAAAGGTTCTTTTATGTGCGTCAAAAACACTCCGGGGTTTGGGTCGTGTCGTAAAGTACTTCCAAGACCCGCGGGTATATCGCCACCTCATGGCACCTGGTTATCCACTAGAACCTGGGAGAGGTGAGGCGGAGAGGAAAGGGACGGTTCTTTGAGTGCTTTGAATAAACCCGTTACCCGCTGAAGTTTCAGCTGTGGCGTGGCGTATTTGCAGTCCGATGGGTATATTGATACCTCGTGCCGCCACCTAATGATCTTGAACATGGAAGAGGAGAGGTGAATAAAATGGATTTCTTGAGCATTCCACTCAGCAACATGAGCAATAGAAACGAGCAACTATGGGTAGTGAAGTGAGACAATGTACAGGTGTATGGTGACAAGCCTACCACTCAGCGCATCTCACCAGCTCCAGCCCATGCACCACTAATGTGGCCCAGTGGAAGAAAGAGAGCGGTACGATCAGCTACGATCAACATACCACTCAGCATCGTCAGGGGACATGGTGGAGGGTCGTTCCACGAGCTCCAGCCCATGCACCACAATGAACCGCACACGCTTGTGGGCCCTTGGAACATATAGTGAAGCCAGCTCTCTTTGTAAGAGTGACGAGCTTACCACTCAGCGTCGTCAGGTGACATGGTGGAGGGTCGTTCCACGAGCTCCAGCCCATGTACCACACGATGAGCCCTATTTTGTAGCCCGTAACAAGCTCAAAAGATAAAAACTGCAAGCTCTTCGCAGTTGGGGAACATAACGAGGGCATACCACTCAGCATCGTCAGGTGACATGGTGGAGGGTCGTTCCACGAGCTCCAGCCCGTGCACCACAATGAACCGCACGCGCTTGTCGTCCCGCCCCAGCACCAGCTGGGGGAAGCGCGCCCTAGCCTCCAGTGCAGACGCCATCTCCCTTCGCCTGAATATGGTCACGGCTCCTGGAAGAAGGAGAAACCAGAGGAGCAGAAAGCAGGGGGGCGCTGGAAGAATGAGTAGCTGTAGCACTCGCTTGTCACCCCCCTCCACCAGGTTGACTTTTGAGTCGACTCAAAAGTCAGCAGGGGGGCGCTGGAAGAAAGAGTAGCTGTAGCACGCGCTTGTCACCCCCCTCCACCAGCTCCAGCCCATGCACACCATGACATGGAAATTGTACGATAAACCGCGTCGTTCCACCCCAGCACCAGCTGGGGGAAGCGCCCACTGGCTTCTAGTGCTGATGTCATCTCCCTGACTCCTGTGAGAGCGGAGCGGGAAGCAGGGGGGAGTGGGGTGGGCAGGGAAGGGGGGAAGCATTGAATCATCCGAGTGAGCGGCATTGAATCTATTGAGAATGTCATCTCCAGTACCAAGGGAGAGGTGGACGGGAGGAGGGACGCAGACAGGCAGGCGGGCAGGCAGGCAGGCGGGCAGGCAGACAGGCAGGGTGGGCGACAGGGAGGGAGCACCCCTGGTACCCACCGGACTTGGGGAATTTCTCGACCATGCGGCGATACAATCCTCCAGCAGCCTCAAGCGCGAGCCCCATGGTCTTGCCGCGCAGCACGTCCATCTCCGCCATGCGCCCGTTCACCTCGCCCACCAGCGTCTCATACGCGTTCGCCAGGAAGATGAGCGGCAGCAGATGCCGCGGGTCCCCCTCGTATGACGGCCGGATCACCTGCTGCTCCACTGGCGGCTGCCCGTCCTCCATCTGCACAACATAGCAAGAACCCAAAAAGAAAAGGAAATTAAAAAAAGAGACACACACACACACAGAGGGGAGGGAGGGAGGGGGAGAAGGGTGGGGGGGGGGAGGGGGGGTGGGTAGGGGCATGAGAAAAGGGTGTGCTTGGGATGGATAGAAACCAAATGAGAAGCAGAGGAAGAAAAAAAAACCAAAACAAAACTAAAACTACTGCTACTACTACTACTTCTAGCAGAAGCATCTCACGCCCTCTGCTCACCTCTCTCGCTCTGCGCTTCCTCCTCTCCCCTGGGGAGTGCGATGCTGCGAGCTGTGATTCCTCAGAGATGGGGACGATGTGGTACGTCACAAAGTGGTCGATGATCAGGTGCAGGAAGCGCACGCGCGCAGCCTCGATCGGCAGCAGATCTGACACACAAAGGCATGGACGCACGGGCGAAACACGGGCAGGCGAATTGAGGGTAACATCAAGAACTGAAACCAAGACCTGAAGCGCTTCTGAATTGCTTCTGAATTGGAAAAAAACTGGCAAAAACTGAGGTGCCATAAAAGGTATTTCGGGGTGTACCGTGGATGTTGAGGGGGCTGTAGGGCTGTTGGGATTCAGGAGGTTCCGATTCCTCTGAGACGACTTGCATTGCGAGGCCCCCGTCGTAGCTTGATGATGGACGCCGTCTGCCATGGCTTGAGGATCCATTGCCTGCATGGCCAGACACACAGCCACGAGCAGATATAAAACAACAAAAAGTACGGAAAATGAGGTAAAATGTTAGAGAGTAGCAACTTTCAAATAGGGGGTAATTTTTGGAAAATGACAATCTGCTTGCCTGTGTGAGTTCGGAAGCAGGGCCCGGCTGCATGGTGCTCCCGCTCTGCACGCTCGCTTGCATGGCGCTCTGAAGGCCAGACTGCATGCTGTTCGGAACAGACGACTGGGAATGGAGCGGACCCTGATGCTCCTCCTGACCCGGCTGCTGCTGCTGTTGCTGTTGTTGCTGCTGCTGCTGCTGCTGGAGGAGGTGATGTTGTTGTTGTGACTGCTGCTGTTGTTGCTGCTGCTGTTCTCTTGTGTGGTGATGCTGTTCCATTTGGTCATCCTGCGGACCTTGATGGTGCTGATGTTCTTGTTGCTGCTGTTGCTGATGCTGCTCTTGCTTAATTTGCTCGGAAGGAAGCGGAGGAGGAACGGAATATTGATCGGGATGCTGGAATCTTGAAGCGAAGCTTTCAGTTCTTCCGGCTGTCCGTCCAGGACAACTTGAGACTGCTGTTGCTGCTGTTGCTGTTGGTCGAGAATGCTTCCATGAACAGGTTGTTGCATGCTTCCGTCATTCACACACGAGAGGTCGTGAGGAGACATTCCGTTACCGTTAACAATGTTCCTAGGCTCGCCTTGCGTGCCGTACGCGACGGAAGTCATTCTTCAGGTGAATTTAGTAACTCGATTGGATATCTTGCAACTACGTGGAAACCAGTCGTCAACGCGGTTCCAGAATTAGCTCCTATTCGAATGTGAGGAAATCGAATTATCTAAATCCGCGATTCGAGATGTATGTATTGGCTGGGGAGGTTAGCTCGTGCCAGCCATTGCTCGGGATGAAGCCAGACCAACACAGGAGCGGCGGTAAAAACAAACGAGCCAAGAAACAGGAGAGGAAGGGAGCAGTAACAAGAATGGAGAACGAGGGTCGCGGCAAACCGGAGGCAAGGGAAGAAAGGAAGGCAAGCTTGGAGAAAGCAACGCGAGTTTGGAAACAGATCTATGGCTGCCGGTGCTGCAGACGCATGGTTTGGGTCTGGTGAAGAAGCAAGAGAGGCAGGCCTGGGGGGAGACGGAAGAGGCCTGGGGGGGAAACAGAGAGGCCTGGGGGAAAGTGCCGGGGAGGTATGGGGGGAATGAAGCAGGTATGGGGAAGGTATGGGGGAAAAACCTGGGCGGTTTTGGGAAGCTGGCGGATATTGGCGCTCGATCGCTGTTGCGGCCTGGGGGAAGCGGAGACGAAGCCTGAGGGAGAGGCGGAATTATTGATGGGCCTTGCGCGCAGCATTGAGGTGGCGAGCGCGATAAAAAAATTGGTGGGGTGGTGGAGGGACGCGGAAACTCGCTTCTGGACAAGGCTAGGGTATGGTGTGGGCTCGGCCAGAGCGAGGGTTTCGATACCTTGCTGCGAGGGTTTGGTGTGGCCAAGGCGAGATGTTGGTGTGGCGCGGGCCTTTCCGGAGCTGACACGTCGGACCATGCGACTGGCTGGGAACCTCGATTAGGGCGCCGGCACTCATGCTCTGGGCTAGACGCAAGGGTTTGTTTTGTGATCTGACGAAGGTCATTGTTCGTTCGATGAACGCAGCATGCGGTACACCGTCAGATATAACATCCAGCATCTTCACAACAACATTTCTGGTGATACCGTTATCGCTAAAAAAACAGCCAACTTCTAACGATATTTCAACATGAAGCTAGAAATCTAAAATATGTACATCAGAACCAAGCCACTGTGATATAACAAAAACATATGATCTAAAAATGTTGAAGCTTGAGTGTTACCAGGGGATTTCGCTTAATAGATACTTGTCGTTCACTCCCAGATGAACTAATTTCACCGTCTAGTGTGGACGATGACGAGGACGAAGACGAAAATGGCGATCCCACAGTTGTTGAAGCGCTCATGGGACTAAAAGACACTGAAGGGGAGTGGAAAGACATGGCTTGAATGCCGACCTCATCGTGCAAACCCGGTTCTGTGGCAGATCTCGGCATGAGAGAAAGCATTTGCTGAGCAACGGTGGGTTGAGCCATGGCAGCAGCGCTCACATTGTCCGATCTGGCACGCGGATATGCTTCCATGCCACCAGCCACATGGTTAGACCTTGAGTGCTGCTCATGCTGGATCTGGTGGGATGATTTCAACCTTGACACTGGCTCACTCCTCAAGTTTGACGCATCACGAGAAGTGGAGCCATGGGAAAGAGGCGATGGGCACCCTACAGCTCGCCCTAGCAGCCTCGGAGATGAATAGCCTGGAGAACCGGTACTGCTGCCACCGCCCCTGCCACTCCCACTGCCGCAGCCACTGCCACTGCCACTCCCACTGCCAGTACCTCTGCCACTTCCACTTCCACTGCCGCTGCGAGTGCCAGTGCCACTGATATTACCGCCATCTACTGCATCAGCTGGTGCACCCAGCCTTGTTCCTTGGGCGACATCCACTGCTGCTGCACCTCCTGCTACAGCCGACGTTCCTGCTACAGCTGACGTTCCTACTACAGCCGACGTTCCTGCTACAGCCGACGTTCCTGCTACAGCCGACGTTCCTGCTACAGCCGACATTCCTGCTACAGCCGCTGCGCCAGCGCGCAATGCTGGCGCCAACCCTGACTTGGTACTCCTCCGTTGGGAAACTGCTCTGGTCTGAGCTCTCGTTGCACCCACCAGGACCGGCCCTGATGCTGTTCTTGGCCCCAGTGTGACCGTAACGGGGGGAGTAGCCGAGCTGGGCGGCAGAGAGGAGCACGAGCGGAGGGGGGAGTATGGGCGCCTCCCAGAGGGAGGACGGCGGGGGGAGGAGGATGCGGGGGAAATGGGAGAAGGGCGGGGGGAGGAGGTTGTAGAGAAGAGGGGGGAAGGGGAGTGGCGCGCAGAAGCAGGAGTTGGGGAGGAGGGGGCGGAGGAGGAAAGGCTACTAGGGCCGTTGGATCGCATCCTGCTCCCCTGATTCGACGGTTCGGATTGGAGAGGGGAGGGGGACAGGGGGAAGGAGCGGTGGAGAAGCAGGCGGTGCTGTCGGTGCGCGCTGAGGGGGACGGTGAAGGGCGGAGACGGCGCGGGGGACGTATCGGGGGAAAAGATAGAGTGTGACTGTGTGGAGAGGGCGTCGGGATGTGACTGTGACGAAGGGAGGTCGACTCGAAGGTTGGGGCGCGGACGAGTATGGGCGAGCCTGCTGCTCATGTCGACGTGGCTCGCTGGCTGGAATGTAGCGGCTGACGTGGCAGCGGGAGGAGCGGCAGCGTGCGCAGCAGTAGGAGCGGCAGCAGCGGCGGGAGCAGCGGCGGAAGGCGCGACGCTTCGGAAGCGGGAGAGTCGGAGGCGGGACGTCGAAGCAGTCGGCGACGGCGGAAAGGACGGCGGGTGGGGAGTCAACGAATAGCTAGGCTCAACGTGCGACTCAACTTGAGCGACGACTAGCTCCGTACGCGAAACGGCGAGCAATGGTGAAGCGGTAATCACGCCAGCATCGTTGCTACCATGATTAGCGGAAGCCCGCGTAGCAGTGGAGAAACGAACAGCCGGAGCAGTCGCGGAGGATTCGTCAGAAGGAACAACTGGGTGGTCGTGGGGCGTCGGGAGCGACTTGGAAGACGGAAACTGCTGTCGGGCCAGGAGGGCAGCCGGCGGCGGCGCGGCGGAGAGGCTGGTCGCCCCGGGGCTCGAAACGGAGCGCGGAAACGCCAGTTGCGGTTGCGGCTTCCGCGGAGACGCGGCGGTCTCCACGACGAGGCTCCCCATGTGCGCGTGGGGCTCCGGCGGTGCTGCGTCCGACCTGGGTCCCTCCCCTGAGATGACCGCAGGGTCCGGCGTGGAATGCGCCGGAGGAGGCGCCGGCGCCGGTGCAGCGCTTCCAGTCTCACCATCCCGAATTTCACGAATCTTAGAGCTGGTCGCGCCGTGCAGACTTGAATTCTGTAACCTCGACGCTTTATCACCAACCGGCGATTTCCCGCAAACCGCCACGACTGAGGGAGCCTTCCCGGGAGTCTCGGCCCTGGTCCGAGCTTCTCCCGCCGCCGCGGAACATCTGCCTCGCGGTACATCAGCCCCTGCGGTTGCGGAACGGGATGTCCCTGCACCTGCGCCGGTTGCGGATCGGGATGTCCCTGCCGCTGCGGAACGGGATTCCCCGGCCGCTGTGCGAACTTTCCTTCCTGCGAGCTTCTCGCCGCGGCCTGCGCTCCGTGCGTTAGTTCCGCAATCTCCCCGCGCCTCCCCGACGAGCCGCGTCTCCCGCATCTCCCGCACTTCCCCGCACGTCCCCTGCGACTCCCGCGTATCGATGGAAGCCTCCCGCGCACCTCGCGTCTCACGCGTATCTCCTGCCGTCACCCGCTTTTCCCCTGCTCCCCGCGCTGCCCGCTCCGCCGTCCGCCTATCGCAGCAGTCACGCTGCGCGCGTCCTTCAGTGAGAAAACTTTCCCTGACGACGAGATGTTCCGCCAATTCCGCCTTTCCTGCCGATTCCAGCAATTCCGCTAATTCCCTCGGTCCCGATGTCTCCCGTGCCGATTCAGAGCTGCGCGCTGCGCGGCCCGCAGCTCGCTTCCGCGCAGCACGCGGAATCTCCGCGCGTTCCTCCTGCAGACCCGTATCGACGCTCGACGATTCGACTACCACGTGGCGGCGCTCCATCGCCGCTCTCGTGGCCCTATTAGTACTACCGCTACTACTGCCACTATTATAGAGTCTGCGCGCTTTTCTATGATCGTCCTGGCGAAGTGGGACCGCCGCCGCTATCATCTGTCCCAACGATGTGAAATGAGAGTGTTTTTGAGACGTCTACAAAACGCCGCCGCTATCACCTGTCTGTCCAAACGAGTTGCAAGATATCGGAAAGCATGCAGTCTGTGCTACGCGTTCTTGCTCTACCAGATCTGTCGTAGCTGTGTGCTCTCTCGGGGTGAAGCAGAACTGTCAATCGAAGGATCTTCTTGAGTCTGCCATTTCGGTGGTCAATGCAAATAGCGGTTTGGCTGAAGGACCTTACTTGCTCAAGTGGATGAAACGACCGGGCCGTCTAGGATATTACATCGGGTTTACATTAACGGATAGGTTACAGTACACGCAAGAAGCGACGAGAGCAGAGTGTGGTTGATGCAGCAAAGAAGCAAGAGAGTACACCTTGTTTCTCGACCCTCTCACCTTGCGCGATTCGCTGCTACAGTGCGGTCAGGTGCCATAAACCGTATGGCTGAAACCTGCGGGCAAAGCCGCACCAGCTGACGGAGTGGTACTGGGGGCAAAAATTTTCTTTATCGCTGTATACCCTTTTCAACCGCTTTAAAACGCTTGGTTAATGTTCTTTACCATGCAGCATCCTAGCTAACCGCTTTCTTGTGAATGTGCTTGTACCGTCGGTAATAAGACCATTTCAAACGTGGTGACGTTCTACAACCAGTGCCTGTTCTGCAACCAGATGCTCTGCTAGCGCGAAACAGGGTGTAACCGACACCTGCTTTGACGGAGCGCGACGGTCGCAATTTGTACTCGTTCAGTCCCATCAGTCCTCGCAATCTCAAATCCCCAACCCCGATTCGCCCAAGCTGACGACGAGAACATCCGCCCGGCCCAGTCCCACCGAGTGTGAGAGCGAAATCAAACAGTCCTCTCCCGTCCAGTCCTTTTTCGGAAACGATCAATTCTGGGGCCTACTTCCCGCTGCTGTGTGGCCTTGGTTTGGGTTGTTGTGGTGCAAATTTCCTTCCGTCCGCACCCTCGAGTGACGGACTGGAGAGGAACGAATCCAGTAGAAGAGAAGCAAATGTTTCCATCATTTTCCAAAAACAAACCGAGAGACTCCCTGCGGGTTCCCAGCAAGTGCAGTGCACCACTGGGATTTCAAAAATGGGCTCCGTCCTTCGCCTCGATGCTTCGAAGGCGCGATGCGGCAGCAATTCCCAGAGACGAGTCGCAGATCTAGAAGAGTGAGGGCCAGAAATCGGATGAGGCACGTTTTGGCATCTGATTGAAAGGGAAACAAGCTTTTACCCAGATTTATTAAACATTCACGCTCCTTCGCCAAACCACGTAACAAACCCATTCACAACTATCTATAACTAACTGAACCGCCAAGATCAGCTACACTTTGTTGACCGGTTCCCCACGGGCTGCTGTCCTGGTTCTGTTCTGATTCAGTGATGGTGCGAGGGGGTAGTTGATCTACTTTGCACCCAAACATTTTGGCAACACGAAGGACAACCATCGCTGGTCGTGGCAAATGCTTCCATGCATGTGGCAAGAATGTGGTATTGCGTGGAGTGATGTGGCGGCCGTTTCGTTTTCTGGGAAGCCGACAATTACACAGCAACATACCACGTCAGCTCAAGATATTCAAGTTGATTTGTTCAGAGCATCACCGACATAGGGATCACGTGGGAGCGCCACTGCAGTAATGCGTTCCAAGAACCTCGCAAGAGCACAGCAGCAGCTTCACAGTGTTATCGGAGCGAACCACATGAAGTGCCACCTCAGCATACACTCACTTTGAATCAGGAGTATTCGGTATTAGGCTGCAAGGTGCAATATTAGTGCGTTCCTTACGGATTGCATCACCGAAAAAATAATGGATATGCTTCTCAAGGGGATGTATTTTCAAGAGAACTGGAAAAGATGTTAGGAACATGTGTGCTCACCGCTTGTTGAAATGGTAGCCTTTTAACAATCTCAAGGATTTTCTTCCCATATACTATGCATAATAATGTATGTACATTTAACAATCCATACCATTCACCTCCACCATTATCCTAGCCTATTCCAAGCACAGCAAACATTTTACCTGTTTGGCGTGTGGCCATGGCAGGCAAGCACATAGCTTGTGTAGGATGATTTGCGTGGCCGCCACACATGGTTGACAACAGAATTTGTCGAGCAGCAGGCTAGTTACCGGCTGCTCAGGTTAACAACAGAAACACCACTTTCCACCCTCCATGGAGAAGAGACAAAATTCTTGGCCTCAGGCTAGTTACCTGCTGCTCAGTCTGCCGCACCCAGCATGACATATCCGTATGATATACAACCAGGGTTTAGAACCGTTTCGAAAAGCCAATTGGTTGGCTAAAAAGCCCTTCCTGTTGGCCCGAAAGCTAGTACCGCCTGCTCAGTCGCCTGCACCCCGCAGCGACGATCGCAGGCACGTTGGCGACTTTCGCCGCAAGGCTGGTCGGCCAGACCACAGCAGTCCGATAGCTCTGCCGCCGACTCATCCGCTTGCTGTACTCCGCTAAAGCCGGACGCGTTCTAAGCAGCTTTTGGGAGAGTCCTAGTCGGTCTACTGAGGCGAGAACCGGTGCAAAGCAGACGTCCGCGATGGACGCTTCCTTCCCCGCCAGGAATACATTGTTGGGGTCCGACAGAGTCCGTTCCGCTTCGTCAAGAAGCGCCTCGAGTTGACGGAGCGACGTCGACGCCGCGTGTCCCGCCGCAATCGTTGCTTCCAGCGTTTGGTAACGCGCGAGCAAAGCGCCATACGCGCTGACGAGGTCGGGATTCCGCGCCATGCGCTCGACGCACACGCGGCGGCGGAAGCGCGTGACGGACTGCGCGGCGCCGAGAGACATCTTCGAGTAAGCGAGCGCCTCCTCGTCCCACGACGCGACGCGAGTAAGCCACGTGGCAGCTGCGTCGCGGTCAACTATCGAACCGCCCATTGGCTGGCCGATGCTGTCGAAGTACCTGCAGAGGGATCACACAGGGGAAGGATAATGTTGTGGTGGGAGCATAGCCAGTTGGACTCATGGGGGAACAGAGCCCCAATCTAACATGAAAATCTGAAAGAAAAGGTTCCGCGTCACAATCTGTACGTGCGATGCTGTCTAGGAACATTTGGTAAGATAGTGATGCGATGGGAACAGTGCTGTAAGCTGGTTACTGGTAAGGCCGCTACTAAACATTTTTCTTAGACGTCTCAAAACGCGGGGAGCGGTGCCCTCAGCTGGTAAATGGTAACGGTGCAACTGAACATGAGAACGAGAAGAGTGAAAGAAAGAGGCCAATAAACTCTAACGTGGTGGTGCTCTCTCTTGAAACTCAGATTATCACTCTCGCAGCATGTTCAGGATGGCGAAGCGTTTGAATGGCAGGTTAATTCTAAGAGTACAAACTCGAGTCACTAACCTGAGGATCTCGTTGGTGTCCGTGATTGTGTTGCTTCCGTAAACGAGCAGAGGGACTGTTCCTTGCGGATTAAGACGCAAGAACCATGGCTCGAGGTTTGCCGCTCCGACAAAGTCCACGTGGCACAGCCGGCAAGGGAGGCCCTTCTCTTCGAGCATCATGCGGACTTTGTGGCAGTCGAAGGAATCATTGCTGTAGTATAAGTCCATGGCGTATCGACTGCTACTTACGCCGTCTCCTGTACGTAGCGGGTAGCGGGATAAGACGGACGTAGAAGGCAAATGTTGCTCTAATCTCGAAGTAAACGTGTCAAAGACGACGATGTAAGACCGATGAGTTGAATTGATTAGCTTATGCTTGGAAGATGAAGTGGGACAGGGGCGACATGGGGTGATGGGGGTGAAAATTGGGGGGAGGGAATTTCAAGGGGGTGAAATGTCGAATTGTTCTAGCACCCCTTTTTGCTCAACATCGATTCATTACGATGCTACTTGACAGCCGTAGATTTCGTCAGTAATTGTCCGTTTGGGCAACGGGCGATGAGAAATGCGCGACTCGCAAAAATTGCGCATTTTATCCGTCCAGCGATTCGCCCATTTGTCCGCAGTTTATGTTCAGGCTTGAAACGGAGAATTGCTTCTCATATAATTTGATCAGCATGGATTTCTTGAAACTACAAAAGGTTCGCTTTTCGTAACGAGGCGTTCCATACTGAAATCAGGCGTGAAACAAGGCGACTGGCTCAGACATGAGTTGGCTGGCATTATGTGCTTGTCACCATTGACCAATCAGGGTTCGGACTTCTAACATGGGATATTTTTCCCCATTCAGAACTCGACACCTGCTGGCGGCAAAACCACCCGTCTCCTCTTTCAAACTATCTAACAGGTTGACATCCACGTAGGCAGGATAAAGCTGCTAGGCATCTCTCCACCCAATTAAAGAGCTTTATTGACCTCCAAAAAGATACGCTATGGAGGGGAAAGTGGCGAATCTGAGTGCGCCTTTGCTGACTGGCTTCCCCCCCACCCTGAACACCCGCGGGTTTGTTGTCCAATATCGTCCCAGCATTGAGCTGCGGCCCAGCTTCGCCTCACCATCACAACCGTAGGTTTGGACTATCCACCAAGCGGATCTGCCTCTGGGACCACCTGTGCACAACCTGCCTCGTGGCGTGGCCTGGTTGCTTGTTTCCGATCGCGCTGGACGCTTCCGATATAACTGGACCAAGCAAACGCATGCGGATGATCCACCAGTCCAAACCAAGCTGATTCCCGCTCGTTCCACTCGTTGTTGCCTCACGTGCTCCTCTCAACAAGCATGCGGCCACCTAGCCTGAGTCGACTCACCTCATCTGCTATGAGTGTGCCATCGTGGCAGTGTGCTTCTGCGTAGGGCCAATCCCAAGGCCTAATCGCTCCCTTACGTCTTGCGGACGATCTAGTGTGTGTCTGGCTTGCCGCCTAATGCTCCTCTCTCCACCAGTCCCACGCCTTTCCCCCCTGGCCAGATTATAAACCCAGGCCTTTCTGGCTTGATCACATTAGCTCAAAGTCCGACCTTCTTTTGACGCTCCATCCTGTGTTTTTGTTTCTGCTTCACGTTCGCTTCGCTGGTGCCGCTCAACCATGGATCAAAGCTCCTTAGCGCTGTCTTCATGGAAATCGAACTCGCGGGAGAATTTTGGCGATTATGTCCTCATGGTAGGTCCTAGGGGCATAAATTCGCATCTCCGGACCATTCCCGTGCTTGCAACGAACCAGACTTCGTAGCTTTCGGGCGTCGATTTTCGACTCACTTGCGATCAAATTTGCGTTTTAACGTTCATTTGGAAGAACCTGACCCCTTGCTTCTCTCTCACGCGTTCTTTCTTCTCGCTCACCCTCCCGCACAAACACGCACACGCATAAACGGTTTCATCTCGCGCCTTCCCTCACTCTCTCCACCATTCATTATGACGCACACACTCATCTCTTCTCCATTCCATGTCTGTCTCCCTCCAGGTTCAATGCCTAATAGAGCGATGCCTACTCATCGACTTGAGCCGCGACGAGTGCGTGTACACCTTAGCACGGCGGGCCAGAATCGACCCCGCTGTTACTTTAGCAGGTGAGAATTGGGATGTCCAAGCATCGGTTAGCCAACCAGTGCTCGAAATGTTGCTCTCAGGCTTCCGAGAGGACGCAGTATCACAATGTAGGTAATGTATGCAATGTGTATGCTGAGCTGAGCAATTCTAAGACCTTGTCTGTTTTGTTCTGTGCAGTGTGGAAGGGGCTTGAGAAACAAAACCCAGCATTTTTCGAGGAGTACTCGCGTCGGCCACACAACAGCGAGACTCGCAAGGCCAGACGGGCCCAGCAGGCGGCACATCAACAATTGTGCTCCGCGAAGATGCTTCAGTACCTTGACGCCTGGCAATTGCCGTACACCGAAACTTGAACGTTGGTCTCTTCCTGGAGATCCTTTACCTGATAGGTCCTGTTGGGGGCCAAGGACTTGCTGGTGCTGCCTGATGGCCAAGCTCTGCACGTCGAGGAGGCCAAGTTTATAGTTACCAAAACCCGCTGTGATAGTCCCAGCACATTGCTGGCCGACTTGCCTTCTTGGTTGATGCTGCTGTGCAACAATCCTGGCTGATCGGATCATTCATTGGCTAGGTGACCTTAGAAGGATCTAGCCTAGCTCTGTCTGGATTTGAGCTAGTTGCCCTTGTACATAATTCTTTGCTAGTCTTATTCCTAAGATCGTGTGTGCATTGGAAATGAGCGGGTGCATTTCTTCACCAGCGAGTCAAGCTCGTTGAAGTATCTCAACTTCAGTGCATTCTTTGTCAAGCCTTTTGGCCGAATTGAGACAATCCTTGGGCCAAACCAGGTACACCCTGTTTCTCGACCCTCTCACCTTGCGCGATTCGCTGCTACAGTGCGGTCAGGTGCCATAAACCGTATGGCTGAAACCTGCGGGCAAAGCCGCACCAGCTGACGGAGTGGTACTGGGGGCAAAATTTTTCTTTATCGCTGTATACCCTTTTCAACCGCTTTGAAACGCTTGGTTAATGTTCTTTACCATGCAGCATCCTAGCTAACCGCTTTCTTGTGAATGTGCTTGTACCGTCGGTGATAAGACCATTTCAAACGTGGTGACGTTCTACAACCAGTGCATGTTCTGCAACCAGATGCTCTGCTAGCGCGAAACAGGGTGTAATAACGAGGACAGATCCTGGATCCTACCAACAAGGTCAATGCATCCACTCACTATTTCAACAACCACAACCTGCCAACCAATCACATCACTTGGCGATCGTTTCGCCAACTAACGACTGTCTTCGCTTACATTGATTTTGTCCGTTGTTCGAATTCGCAACCTCCAAACTTTCGCACACATCCCCATGCCTGTCAAATTTCTGGCATGACTGTTCAACACATCCACCCAGCTGAGTTCCTTCTAGAACCTCCAAGGTTCATCTTGGCAGAATCATCTTGGCAGCCATAATCTGGCGAGGTTTGGCTAGGAAGAGTCTGACTTTAGGTTAGGAATCAGGTCGTTAGACCCCATTCTTCGATGCGTACGATTTAATATATTCGCGGAAGCAGTCATTCTCGCCATGGGGGCTTGGAAGCTTCTGGTTCCTTTCATTCTCGCGGTCGTTACAATAGCAGGCCACGCTTTTCCTGCTCTCGTCGAAGCGAAACTGCACGACCAGGCATTGACCACTTCAGATCTGACGAGCTCGCTAAACTCTAACGTTCAGGTATGGATGCACGGCCGTCAGCTAAGCGACATGCAGCCTGTTTCCGGCAAGCATAGCGTTTCCCGTCGGTTGCTCCAAGTATCTGACGAAGACGGCGACGGTTCGGGGGATTCTGGCGGGGATGGCGGAGATGTGTCGGAAGGATCGCGGAAGAAGCGAAAGGGAAAGAAGAAGAAGATAAAGGGTCGCAAGAGCAAGAAGTCGGGGAGCAAAAATTCGAGCAAGAAGGCGAAGCTTCGTCGACAGAACGCGATGCCTCGACGGTCCGAGGAACTCCAGCAGGTGATTAAGGAGGTGACGTCACAGCTTGGGGAAGACGAAGAGGGAGGGGATCGTGTCGCGCGAAGTGCGGATAGCGACGAAGAGGCCCGCGGAGGGGGACGAGAGGAGGGGAATGACGGGGGAAGCGCGGAAGCAAACGCGGAAGCAAACGCGGAGATGAATGCGGAAAGGGATGATGAAGAGACTCCTTCACGAGCGAGAGAAAGCGCGGCGGAGGAAGGGGAAGGCGGAGGGGAATCTGCGGAGGGCGCGGAACGCGCGGAAGGCGGAGAGTTGGCGGGCGACGCGGAGGATAAGCGAGAGAAGCGCGGAGAGGAGGAGGAAGAGAAGGCTGAGGCTGGGGAAGAGAAGCGCGAAAATGTAGTCCCCCCCGCGGATGACGACGAAGTGGCGGAGCGGAAGGCGGAAAAGGCGGACGCGGCTGAAGATGATGCCGGCGAGGGGGAGGGTGGGGGGAAGGCGGATAGGCAGAGGAAGGAGAGGAGTGAGGATGGTGACGAGGGAGAGGCGGAAACAGAGGGGGACGGTGAAGGGGACGGCGAGGGGCGGCGTGTGAAGAAGGAAACTCCGGAGATTCCGGAGGCAGACGATGGCCCGCGCGTGGAAAAGGAGGAGGATGACGCGGAAGGAGGCGATGATGACGTGTCGAAGCGGACGCGCGGAAAGGGAAGGGAGCGGGGGGAGGAAGAGGGTGAAGATTTGCTTGTGGATTCTGCGGGGAAGCGGGGGACTAGGGGGGGAGATGCGGAAGAAGGGGGAGATATCGACGTGGGGGAGGAGGAGGGAAAAAGGGGAAAGCGTGGTGGTGGGGACGAGGAGGATGAGAGTGGAGTGAGGGAGAAGGGAGCGAGGAAGGAGGAAGGAGAGGAGGAGGACGGAGAAGGGAGGGAGAAGGGAGGGGAGAAGGAGGAAGAGATTGGGGAGGAGGGTGAGGGGGGCAAGCGGAGGATCACCGAGGATGATGAGGGGAGGAAAGGGAGTGAGGAGGGAGACGAGGAGGATCGACCGCGCGCGAAGGCAGCAGGTGATGACGCGAGGGAGGAGGGCGAAGAGGGGATTAGGGTGCGAGAGAAGAAGATCGAGGAGGAGGGAGAGGGAGAGGGTGAGGGAGAGGGAGAGAGGGAGGGAGGTGATGAGGGGGAAATGGGGGTGAGGAAGAAGGGGAAGGGGAAGGATAAGAAGAAAAAGAGCAAGAAGGAGAAGAGGAAGAAGAAGAAGGGGAGGAAGGAGAGGCTTGTGGAGGGTGGGGAGGAGCTGGGGGAGAAGGAGAAGATAGAGGGGAAGAGTGAGGAGGAGGGTGGTGGTGGGAGCGGTGGGGTGGATGAGGCGAATGACATGGAGAAATCGGAGGAGGTAAATGATGAGAATCAGGTGCAGCGAGAAGAACGGGCAGAAGCAGCGGAGCTAGATGGAAAGTTTGATGCAGCTGACGCAGCCAACACAGCCGATGCAGGCGGGGCAGGTGGGGCAGGAGAAGCAGGAGCAGCAGGAACAGCAGGAGCAGCAGGGATGGAGGAGGAAATGGCAGGAGCTGCAGTGACGCCGGGACAAGACGAGATGATTCCCGGATCAGGTGTGACTGACCGCACCAGCACCGCCAGTGGGGCTGGTACAGTTGGAGGTTCGGAAGGAGGCTCGGAGCCGATTACAGGCGCGGGGGTGGGTGGCGATGTGTTCGGGCGGGCGGGGGAAGGGAGGAGCGCAGGTTCGGGGGAAGGGGGGAGCATGGGCGCGGGGGAAGGCGGCATGGGCGCGGGGGAAGGGGGGAACATAGTCGTGCGCGACGGGGGGGGCATGGGTGCGGTGGTGAGTGAGGAGGAAATGGAGATATTGAAGCACCTGCAGGAGGATGTGGCGGTGAGAATGAGTGAGGAGGAGCAGATGGAGCTGGAGGCAGGCGCTGTGGCGGATGCTGATGCCCACTCGTCGTACATGCAGGAGGTCATGGGTATCAGGCGCAACTTCAAACCGACCCTTATGGGCATGAAGGTGAGTCTGTGGTGGTGGGTGCAGTGCGGTTGAGAGGCGTGCAGGGAGGCAGGCGCAGTGGCGGACGCTGATGCCCACTCGTCGTACATGGAGGAGGTGATGGGGATCCGGAGGAACTTCAAGCCCACCCTCATGGGCATGAAGGTCAGTTTGTGTTGGGTGCAGTGCGGTTGAGAGGAGTGCAGCGCGCTTGAGAGACGGAGTGTCGACCTCTGTCGACCTGACCGACGGGCAGAAAAAAACTAAAACCCTATCGGATGGCATGCCATCCGAGGGAGGCATCAACCTTAAATCCATGCCTCCCTGTGTTTAGGGTTGATGCCTCCCTGACCGGATGCATGCCGGAATGGGTTTTATTTTTTTTTCCCGCGGGCAGCGAGCTCCTCCGGGCGGAGTCGCTTGTCGGCTGAGCTATATCATGAGGACAGGGCCAGCAAGCACATCCTCCCACACCTCTCCCAGTTCGGCCGCTCGTCGACCCTCTGTTCTCTCCCACATGTATTCGCCCCTCGTTGCTCTCCTTCCAACTCCCCCTCCGCCCCCATCAGGACAAGGCGAGCAAGCACGTGCTGCCACACATATCCCAGATCGCCCGCATGTCCCGCCTCTGTTTCCTCTCCCACACATCTTCTCCCCACTCCTTCCCTGCTCTCCTTCCCCCTCTCCTATCCCCCCATCAGGACAAGGCGAGCAAGCACGTGCTGCCACACATATCCCAGATCGCCCGCACGTCCCGCCTGGCCTTCCTCAAGACCAGCTCGCACCTCACCTCACAGATCACGCCCTACTTCGGCTCCTCGTCCCCGCTCCTCGCCACTCTCCTCTCCTACCTCCTCCTCCTCCTCCCCCTCGCGCTCGTCATCGGTCTCTTCGTGCGCATGCGAGCGGCCCTCTCTCTCCGCCGCATCGTGCACCTGGCGAACCTCTACCTGTTCCTCTACTGCTTTGTACTCCTTGTGGCGTGCTTCGTTATAAGCGCGGAGCCGATGGCGAGTCTGAAGAAGGTCGCGGAGCATAACTACTTTGTGCTGCAGCTGCTGCAGGGAGCGGGCTATCTGTGCTACCTCGCCCTCCAGGCAAGTGCTTTCCTGAAATCACATGTAGTGTGTTGCGTTTATTTCCTGGAGTGTGTTGGGTTGTGGAGCATCACTAGTGCAGCTGCTGCAAGGGGGCAGCTATTTCTGCTACCTCGCCCTCCAGGCAAGTGTTTTTGCAAAATTACCTCGAGTATGTGCGTGCCCCATAATTCTCCCGAGCTCCTCTGCCTCTCCTCGCCCAGGGTCTCTCTCTCTCTCTCTCTCTCTCTCTCTCTCTCTCTCTCTCTCTCTCTCTCTCTCTCTCTCTCTCTCTCTCTCTCTCTCCATCTCCTGTGTGTCAGAGGTGGGGCTCCTGCTGATGGCCCCGGCGGTGGGGCTGCACTCCTACATCACCGTCTTTCAACCCATGGGTGTTCACTTCAGCCCTATGCTCATGCTTGCGTCTTCTTCTCCATTCCACCCCTCCTTCCCCCTCCCCCCTCCCCCTCCTTCTCCCCCTCCCCCTCCCCCTCCCCCTCCCCCTCCCCCTCCCCCTCCCCCTCCCCCTCCCCCTCCGCCGCACCCCACCCCACTCCACCCCTGCCCCTGTCCCCTCCTCCCTCCTGTCCCCCCCACCACTCCTCCATAATTTCAGGGCCTGTCTCTCTGTGTGACGATCCGCTCGTCCGAGAGAGGGCAGGGCAAGTTCATTCGCCTGCGCGCTGTGTTGCAGCTGCTGGTGGCGCTGGGGGTGGGGCTGCACGCCTACATCACTATCTTTGAACGCGCCATGCTCGACCTGCCCCCCAATGCCTCTGCTGGCGCATATGCGATTTATGCTGCGTGCTTCTTCTTCCTTGTGCTTATATCGAGGGGCCCCAAGCGGCACGAGGATAAGGACAAGTAGGGGGGGGAGAGACAAGGGTTGGAAATTGGAATGAGTAGGGGATGAGATGTTGTAGTTGGTCTGGTTTGTGTGTTGCTGGTGTGGTAGCTGTAGGAGAGCTGATGACAGATGCTAGCAAGTTGCAGTATCTCTGTGAGGAAATGATTCTTGGTGGCGCTGAAAATCACGTAAATTACTGGTACATGCTAATTGTGGCAGAATTGTTGTTTCCAGGTGAAGATGCAGATACATCGTACAAGATAATTTGTAAGACTCGTTTGTGTAATACAGAGGCTATTGGCCGTGAAGCCTCCTGACTGAGATGTTTCTTGAGCAGATAAGGGTTATTCGAAGTTCTCTTAGTGAAGGCCGCGATTGGGTGCAATTACCGCCCTGGCACACGCCAGCATCTCATCGCGCCACGTGCTAGAGGGGGCTCACCTTTTTGCTGATTTGGCGTCGCGTCACGAACATTCCGCACCGCATCTCTCTTGGTCGCTGTTCCTCGCAATCACACAAACGGCGTCAGCAAACGAGGAGCTGCAATTTCCTCCCAAATAGTTTGGGTCGGAGCGCTGCTCGTGGCTCTCGACTAGAGTAACGGAAGCGTCAGCTTGCGGGGGGGAAGAAAGAGCCAGCTGCGCACCAGCCTCAAACACCCGAGGTTGCTTCCGCTCCACCAATCAGACCACCTTGATATTGCGGACTCCGAAACAATAGCGCCGAGCCAATGCCCGCGCGGAGGGGGAATTTGCGACACCACCACCAAGGGACGTTGCCGCAACTAGCTGTGAATCGCAGCCAGCCGTTCATACGTCCATCCTCTCGACATCAATGGCTCTTGTCCAATCATCCTCCGCTCATCCCGCCAGATTTTGCGACCAGCTGTCGCATGCACTCCCACGACCGTTTCGCCCTTGGGTTCCTCGACACACAACTGCCACACAACAACTCGCGAAGCCAGTAACCGCTCATCCTTGTCGCGCATTCCACCATTTGATTCGGTCACCTGTCGCAGCTCTTCGCATCTCGTTGTAATGCACGCGCGAAGTCGGCTTTGCGCATCAGCGAGCTTTGAGCGCAGCTGTTTCTGTATTCGTCTTCCCCCTTCCCTCTCATTTGTGATCCCCACCCGCATGCATTTCTCCTACCGTACCCTCCCTTACCTATTTTACGGCCATGTGGAATTCTGTATCTCACCTAAACTACGAACTCTACTGTGATCTTCCGTAATCTCCCTTTATTTCCTCCGTCCCTTGGGATTGCGACTTGGTTCTTGATTTTCCTGTTAGATTGTTGATAAATCTCACCAGGAGGTGAAAAGACTGGATAGATGCGTCAGAAGTGATTTCGACTTACCCACCCTTTCCTCCGTTGTTTCACGCAGTGTTAGGTTCTTTTTGGGCTTAGTCTTGTGGTTCCAGCCATCAGCACACAGGTAGTGCTTAGTTGACCGTAGCGCAATCAGCAAGCGATATCACTCGAATCGCCTCTAAGTAACGTGTAAGAGCTAGATCAGTCGCGTGCTACGTTCATCGATCCATCCTCCAAGTCCTTGTAACGGTAACCGGCCATGCGTCTTCTCCAGCGATCGCTCGAGCGTTCGCCCACGAGGGTGCGAATGGAGATCCGACGGTCTGACGTCCAAAGTAACGGAAATAGCGCGCAGCCGTCTGGAAAGCCCCGACGCTCGAATGCGAAGCTGCTTTACGCTCAATCGGGACGCCCGGCGTCGCCGCCGCGCGGAGCCGCTGTGTCAACGTCAACGTCAGCTTTTACGTCTGATTCTCGCGCTGTCGCTGACGGATTAGCTCCAATTTCCCACAATACGACAGTATCCATGCCACCACTTAGAATCTCTCACTCCAAAGAGAATTCCATGATTTTTAATCGAGCCGCCACGCAGCAGCAGCCAACGAATGCGGCGAACGATTTAGCGACAGCTCCTTCCGAGGCTGCTTTCCAGCTTCGGGGATCAGCGTCGGATGAAGGCTCGGTAGTAGGCGATACCCGGGCCGCGTCTGGTGAAGGAAGCGAGGCGATTAAAGACCTATCGGGTCCGCCGGTCCTGTGCTGGGAGCGCGTGGGCGGATCCACTAAGGCGTATGTAGCGAATGAGATCGGCGGGGGAGGGGATGGCACGGAGGGGGCGGGGAGGGGCCGCAAGGGGCGGCGGAGAAAGCCGTTTTTTATCCAGGACGTGGGGGAGCGCGCAGACGCGGTTATGGTGAGTGCGCGACGCCGTAGGGAATGCGCGGATCAGTCCGCTGATAATTCGTGCCCTAGTTAGCACCCAAAGTCGCCAAATTTGATTTTCTTCCCAAAACCCTCGGCCCCCCCTCCCAACACCCCCCTTTCCCCCTTTCCCCCCGCTCACCTTCCGAAGCCCATCTCTCTTTTTCCCCCTGCTTTTTTTATTTTGTACTCCAGGAGCTAACCGATTTTTTCAAGACGAATTTCCTGCCCGAGGGGTTTCCGGACAGCGTAGCTCCGTCGTTCGTGCCGTACATGCGATGGCGCGCCTTGCAGGTGACTATAGCGGGAGGGCATTTGCAGATGGACTTTAGTGGGAGGGTACTTGCAGGTTGATTATGTAGGGAGGGTAGTTCCAGGTGGTTCCTTGCCCCCGCCTCTCTCTCCTGCTGCACTATTACGGCGGACTCATGCGCATACTCACCGTGCGCTCTTTCCCCCCACGCTCCCTCCCTCCCGAAACTTCTCCCCTTCCGCCACTCCCTTCCCACACTCCGTCCCGTCTCCATCCCTCTTCCATTTCCCTCATCTCCCTCGTCCCCGCATTCCATTTACAGTTGTAAAAAGAAGACTCTCTCAAAACTCTTCTTCTTCCATTTGCGGAGACGTCTCAAAACTCTTCTTTTTTCACGTGGCTTCCCTCATCTCCCTCGTCCCCGCATTCCATTTACAGTTTCCTCCCTTCCTACTTTCCCTCCCTTCCTTCCCCATCAGTATTTCTTCGGCCGCGCGATGGGCGTCTTCACCACGCGCTTGCTGCTGCCGCAAGCCTTCGCTTCTTCCCCACAATAATTCCCGCCTCCTCGCCTTTCGCTCCCCGCACTCTCCCCCCCCCTCTTCGCACTTCCCCCCACGTCTCCCCTTCCCCCCATCAGTATTTCTTCGGCGGAGCGATGGGCGTCTTCACCACGCGCTCCTTGCTGCACGCCTTGGGAGTGTCGCGCGGCGCGGGCGGCGGCGGCGCGGCGGCGAGCGCGCTGGCGGTGAACTGGGTGCTCAAGGACGGCGCGGGGCGGCTCGGGAAGATGCTGTTCGCCCGCCACGGGAAGCGGTTCGACTGCGACCTGAAACAGGTGAGCCCTGAAACAGGTGAGCCCTGAAACAAGTGCCACCAGGTGAGAGGAGAAAACAGGTGAGGGAGTAATCAGATGGTAGCGGACAAATTTTTAACTTGCCTCTTGACTGTACTGCTTCTTGACTTGGGCTGCTGTAGCTGCTGCATGCACCATCGCCACTCCCCCGCCCTCCTCCCCCACTACTCTTTCCTTGTAGATGTGCATTTGTGGTATCTCAAATCTCTCCAATTCCCCCAACCCCCCACTCCCTTCCCGTCCTCCCCCTTCCCCTCGCCTCCCCTCCCCTCCCCTCCCCTCCCCTCCCCTCGCCCTCCACCCCCACTACTCTTTTCCTTGTAGATGTGCTTTTGTGGTATCTCACAACTCTCCAACCCCCCCTCTCCCCTCCCCACCCCTCTCCTCCCCTCCCCCCCCCCCCTCCCCTCCCCTCCCCTCCCCTCCCCCCAACCGCATTCCGCGGTCCCCCATTGCACCCCCACCATCCCCAACCGCACACCACTACGCTACACCCCACTCCCATCCACCCTCTCGTGCAGATGCGCTTTCTGAGCAACATGCTGCTTGATTTCGGCTGCTGTGTCGAGCTCTGCACCATGGCCGCCCCCAAGTTCTTCCTCCCACTCGCCTGTGTCGCCAATGTGTTCAAGGTGGGTGCAATGCGGTCAAGTGCAAAACAGTCGGGTGCAGTGCGGCTAAGTGGGTTCTGTGCTATGCGAAACGATGGTCACGCCCTTGCAATTCCTCCCAGCGCATGAAACGAGCGCTTATTTCCCATCAACCAACCTTGCAGACGACTTCTTAAACAACTCTTCAAATCCCCTCTCCTTCCCCCCTCCCTCTCTCCCCCCCCCCCACCACCACACTCCCATCATGCCTCCCTCGTCCCCTTCCTCCCCTCCCTTTCTCCTTTTCCCTTACCTTAGAACATTGGGGCCGTGACCAACACATCGACCCGAGCGCCCATCTACAAGGCGTTTGCACGGCGGGAGAACATCGGAGACATCACGGCCAAAGGGGAGAGCATTAGTAACCTCGCTGACCTGGTGGGTGGGGGTCGTGTGTGGGGGTTGTGTGTGGGGCAGACAGAGGGGGGCGGGTGGGTGGGTGGATGGATGGGTGGTAGGTGGTGGGAGGGGGAAGGCGGTGTATGTGCCTGTTTCAAGCATTGTCGGTGATGGAGCAGAAGGCGGACAGCATGGCTCAGGCAGCCTCCGTGGTGCCCGCTCTTCAGGTGTGTGTGTGTGCTGTGTACCCCCATGGATGGTTGTGTGCCGTGCTGTGACGTACCATCCTCTGCTTGACATTACTGAATAAACTCAGTACTTCTATGTTCCGTCATTCTTTCTGAGTTAATGTCTGTACTGTGTACACTTCATTTGAGACGTCTCAAAAGTCCGTCATTCTTTCTGAGTTAATGTCTGTACTGTGTACACTTCATTTGAGACGTCTCAAAAGTCCGTCATTCTTTCTGAGTTAATGTCTGTACTGTGTACACTTCATTTGAGACGTCTCAAAAGTCCGTCATTCTTTCTGAGTTAATGTCTGTACTGTGTACACTTCATTTGAGACGTCTCAAAAGTCCGTCATTCTTTCTGAGTTAATGTCTGTACTGTGTACACTTCATTTGAGACGTCTCAAAAGTCCGTCATTCTTTCTGAGTTAATGTCTGTACTGTGTCCACTTCACGTGCGTGCAGATGGGCACAGGAGCTGGCATTCTCATTGCGAGGAGCAACCCTCACCTTGCTGCCACCTTTGCTCTCCTTTCCTGCGGCTACCTCTTTGCATCGTTCAACGAGGTGAGATGCGACGCACACACATGCAGAGCAGACATGCAGCTAGTACATACTCATGAACTCACATGCGCACATGAAATTACACATGCACATTTACATGCATGCAAAAATATGTACAGGCACTCATACACATGAACTCACACACTCATGGACATGTGCACACATGTGCTAGGCACACATGCACGTGCACATGCATACATGCACGTGCACATGCACACGTGCACAAGCACACATGCACATGCACACATGCACATGCACATGCGCCTGCACATTCCACGTCAGCCTGGCCACTGTTTTTTCGCTTCCCTGCAGTGACCTCTTTGGGTCGCTCTACTGAATGATCTCGCATCCACTTAGGCACACACATGCATGCGCGCACACACATGCATGCGCGCACACACATGCACGCGCGCACACATAATCGTGTGCGCGTTCGCACACAAACGTGTGCGCGTTCGCACACGCACGCACACACATACACATACACATACACCGCACACACATGCGCGCACACATACACATCTTTCCCGTCTCTTCCCCTCCAACCCCCCACAGGTCAAGTCCGTGCAAGTACCCACGCTCAACCGCGCTCGCTTTGCCGTGGCAGTGCGCTCCTTCCTGGAGACGGGGCAGGTGCCTTCCCTAGCAGAGGCCAACGCCAGGGAGCGCATCCTCGTGCTGCCGTGGGCTGTGGATCGACCCCTTGAGCTGGGAGCACGCGTGGCAGACGCATTCAGGAGTCCCTCTGACCTGCTCGCATCACAGGCCATCTTCAAGGTACGTTCTGCTCCTGCTTGTGGGATTGATACCATACCAGGGAGGCCAACGCCAGGGAACGCATTCTCGTGCTGCCGTGGGCTGTGGACCGACCCCTTGAATTGGGATCGCGGGTTGGAGACGCGTTCAGAAGCCATTCTGACCTGCTCGCATCACAGGCCATCTTCAAGGTATGTCTGGTGCTGCTTGTAGAATCGGCACCAGCGGGGCGGGGCCAACGCCAGGGAGCGCATTCTCGTGCTGCTGTGGGCTGTGAACCGGCCTCTTGACCTGGGGGCACAGGTCGCCAATGCATGCCTTCAGAAGCCCTTCTGATCTGCTCGCGTCACATACAAGCCATCTTCAGGGTATGCTTGCCGCTGCCACCCACCCCTGCCACCCACCCCTCCCACCAAACCCCCTCTCGTCCTTCTCAACACCAGGACGAGCAGTACATTGTGACGTACCTTCCGAGCCACCGGAGGGCGTACGTCGTCCTCAAGGAAGGAGCCAAATCAAGGGACGTGGTGCGGGCGGCCTTCCAGACGCACGTGCTGCTGCACCTGCTGCACCAATGGCGGCAGGACACCTGTCAGCAACCCCTGCTGACTCACCACCTTTCTCCTGGAAACTCTCCCAAAGTCCAAACTCCTGGCAGCTTCAACCCAGCGGCCCTTTCCCCGACAGACCTCGCCCCGACCGCCCTCTCCCCAACAGCCCTGACCAGCAGCTCCCCAGGTCGGTGGGCACCCAAGGAAATCAGTCCCAAGGGCCCTCGCGCGTGGCAAAGGTCCCTCACATCTGCAGAGGTGGAGCGGGCAGTGTCAGAGAGCCTTGAGCTCACGCGAACCCTGTTTGGGACGTTTGAGGAGCGGGCTGCTGCTGAGGGATGGACCATGGCGGATTCGCTGCTCAACCCTGGAAAGGCCCGGGTGCTGTCTGGTCCCCCAACTGCACGGATAGTGCAGGCTGCTGCTGTACCTTCTGCTCCAGCTGCTGCTGGTAGTGTTGCTGGTGGCAGGGTTGCCTCCACTGATGGTTCTGCAGGTCTCACTCTCCCTCCACTCTCTGCCTCAAGCCGGGTTACTGGCCGGGTTGCGCTCAAGCCCTTTGCAGGTGCTGCTGCTTAGATATGTGCCTGCTCACTGCTGGCCTTTTTCTCCAATAGGCTGCGGCTGGTTTATAGCCTAGACGTTGTGCACAATCTTCCTGATTAGATAATAATGAATTCTGAATGAACCATGTTGCACACCTTTGGGAGGTGTAGACACTGTTGCCTTGCTATTCAATGGTGTACTGTCCTTCGTTCTTGCAACAGAGGTTTGATGTCGTTACAGGAAAATTAGCAAACTAGCAGTAGGAGTAACACTGGGCTTCACTACCGGTATTTGTGGTGGCACTCTTGCTGCTCGGTTTTGACATGTCTCAAAACGTGTAGCAATGAATGAGTTCTCTTCTCTGCATCCCTCACCATACGCCTGCTGCACAGCAGTTGCGTTCTCAGCTCCCCAGTTCTCCCCCTTCTTCACCCCCTCATTCTTTCTTCCCCTCCTCCAACTCATCATCCAATGAGAACACGTCTGTGTTCACTGCTTGCTTCTTCTCCGCCCCTCCACCACCACCACCAGCACCACCAGAAGTTGATACAGTAGTAAGTGCTACCTCCTCCTCCCCCAACTCTTCTGGAACATCCTCCGAGTATGCGTATCTGTATGAATGAGAGAGGGGAGTGAAAAGGAGTGCGGAAGAGTGAGAGGAAGGAGTGAAAGGCAAGTGTGTAAGCATGCAGCACCACCAGAAGCTGACACTGCAGTGAGGGCTACCTCCCCCCCCCCTACTCCTTTGGCGCATCCTCCGATGATGCGTATCCGTACCAAAGAGCGGTGCGTGCAGAAGCAAACAAGGGGAATGGGGGAAAGTGAAAGAGAGAGTAAGGGAGCAGCAGAGCACCAGCTGTATGAGCATGGTAGAGTGTAGCTCCACCCCATCCAGCACACGCAAAGCAAGGGGGCAGGGCTTACCTGCTGGCGTTTCTTTAGGGCGACCAGGCAGATGAGGCAGACAGAGCACGTGCAAGAAGCACCCAGCGCAAGAAGCAGCCAGCGCAAGAAGCACCCAGTGCAAGAAGCACCCAGTGCAAGAAGCACCCAGTGCAAGAAGCACCCAGTGCAAGAAGCACCCAGTGCAAGAAGCACCCAGTGCAGCGACAAGGGGACTAAACCCTGAACCCCATCCATACCTCGTGGCGTTTCTCAAAGGCGCCCATAAGACGCAGATGAGGCAGAGCAGCATGAGCGTGAGCACCCCACAGCACTCCCAGGCTTACCTGGTGGCGTTTCTAGAGGGCGCCCAGAGCACGCAGATGAGGCAGAGCAGCATGAGCGTGAGCACATGCCAGAAGCACCCGGTGATCCAGTCGCCCTCCCATTGCTCGTTGTACGGGTCCGATGTGCGCAGGTACATCTGGGGTAGGTGGGTATGGGCAAAGGAATGTACTCGTGATTAGGTGCCTCATTACCCTCCCATTGCTTGTTGTACGGGTCCGATGTGCGCAGGTACAACTGGATAACGGGGTATTGGGAAGGGGTGGATGGATGGATGGATGGATGTACTCGTTATAAGACAGCCTAAAACCCTCCCACTTGCTTGACCTCCGCTTCACCTTGATTCTCCTTGATAGTCTATTCTCCTTCGACCTTGCTTGACCTTGCTTGACCTTGTTCCACCTACCACACAAGCAGCAACAGGATTCTCACCTCAAAGCCTATCCAGGCGACCGACACCAGCACAGCGATCGCCAGACTGTTGGTAAACTTGCGGTACAGCTCCAGTTTGTGCGTGGTGCGCTTGGCCTGCAGCTGCGCGAGCGTCTTGGAAAGCGCGGAGAAGATCCAGAGGATGAAAATGGCATCGAGCACCGCCACCGGCAGCACCAGGAACAGCCGCTCGCTGCTCGTCAGATCGTCAATCGCCCCCACGTTCTGCATCACGTCTAGGAGCTCCACAGCTGCGAAGTACCCCACTCCTAGCGCCACAACCTTCCCGGATAACCCGCCCAGAGTGGGACGAACGACGCCGAACCCCATGGAGACGACTAGAACTAGCACGCGGGAGACCGCCTTGCGGATGGCGCCGAGAGTCGCCGCCCAGATGGTGGTGCCGATGGGGCGGAAGCCGGAGGAGTTAAAATTGGCGAAGTCGTAAAACCAGGTGGCCATCTCGGCCATGGAGAGCACAAGCACTGCCGTGATGCACGTGTGGATCTGCAGCCCGTCCTGCCAGAAACGGAAATACTGCGCAAACCACACGATGCCCAGGATCGTGTACACCTGGTGGTTGGGAAACCCAGGAGGGGGGAAAGAGGGGGGGGGGGAGTGGGTAGTAGGGAGAGAGGGAGGGGGCGGGGGTTGGAGGGAGGGGGGAGGGGTTAAGGTGAGCGCAGAGGAAGTTGTGTGGTGAGGGGAGAGGAGGTGAAGTCGAAGAACCAGGTGGCCATCTCGGCCATGGAGAGCACAAGCACTGCTGTGATGCACGTGTATCACGGAAACTCCAGTAGCTCTAGACACCAAGTCTTAACTGCAATCTTTTCTCACGCAAGTCGCGCCAAGTATAGAACTGACCACAGGAACCAGCACTCACCACAGCCATGATCTCATAGAATAGGAGGCAAGGTGCCATCATGCTGGGCAGATACCCGTCAGGTTTCTGAGGCACCTCAAAAGAAGAATCAGGTTGCGCCAACAGCACAACTGAAATTACCACTCACCACAGCCATGATTTCGTAAAAAAGGAGATAAGGCGCCATCATGCCGGGCAGATACCCGTCAGGGTTCTTCCACACAGTTGTCCCCGTTACAGACACGCCAGCCATGCTCTTGTCGCAGATGACGAACCAGAGGTAGTACATGCCCGTCATCTTGATGCGAATCTCCGACGGCGCTGCCACCACTGTGGTGTCGTTGCCAAAGAAATTGATCTCCACCACACGCGGCCACTGCAGGGAGGGGATGGTTGAGGGGGATTTTGGAAAGTGAGGGGGCAGTGACAAAAGGGAGGGACTTGGGGAAAGGGGACGGGTGAGCGGGAGAGCGAGAGGGCATTGGGGGGAGCTAGGGGGCGTTCGGGAAAGGGAATGGAAACACCCATCGGATTTTCGTTATCAAGGAGATTGATTCCCACCACATGAGGCATTTCGCCTCACCAGCTGCATATTCTTCGCAAGGCCTTCTCTCCTTACCTGCTGGTCGTTCCTTCACACACGGCCTTCTCGCCTTACCTGGTGGTCGCCATCCCTTGGCCGGACGATGACGTGGCCGGGGTTGCACCCGGTGCGTTGCACTAGCTCAGGAGTGCAGCAGAAGGATCGCGTCTTTGCTGACGTGGCGTATCCGATCCGATCGCGATCTTCCACGTCGAATAGGAGAGCTTCGATACGGCCGGTTTTCCCAACCTGCGGCGACCGTTGCGCCTCTTCTGCCGGCCGATGGAATTCCAGGTGGTCGAATCTGATGGCGACGAGAGTGTGATTCAGATCAGGTGGCAAAAAAGAAAGGAACGCGCGAAAACAGACGAAACTCATTGCTTTGATTTACCAATTTGTTGATCGTTTGCTCGTATATGAGCTAGATATGGCGCACATTTACTTGCTGTATGTGTTAATAAAGTCGAGGATAGGACAGCTTTGACGGATAAGCGGTACCAGGCTATAACGGATGAAAACATCGCGCGACTGTAGCAATGTTGGAAAAATCATTCAGTCGGCCAATTAGAAACGGCGAACGGCGTGGCCATCAAGAGACCGTTGAGCGGACCGTACGGCGTTCGCGGCATACCGCACGTAATAGAGTGACGCTGGTTAATAGTAAAATAAAAAAGAAAACTACTTCAATGCTTACCGAATGTACGCTTTGCCGTTAGACACGCCTTTCGCGACGGTCTGCCAGTTAGCAATAGCGTACGGCGTGGACATAAAGAGACCCTCGCGACCCCCCCGAAATAAGAACGCGTCAGAGGCCGGAAAGAAGCGCTCGCCCTTATATCGGTGGACTGCAGATTCCGCGACCCATGGGAGTGCGAGGAGTAGAACTGTCGCCAAAGTCCATGCGAGCGTTACTGATTCGCGGATCATCGCTGTAGTCAAGGAGACGTCGCATGAACTTCGTAAATCCGGCGAAAAGACAAGAGACTGGCAAGGAGGTAATCGGAATAATCTATGAACCAGAGTGGTCTACGAGATCTTGCAGCTAACAGAAACACCCTGGCTGGATAAGAATCAGACTGTATCCATCTCCATTTTGTCAACGAGTGTCTAGTCTCCTCAGCCTGGGTCAGCACAGCAGTAGCGAGAAGAAAGAGTCCGTTGGTAGCAGACCGACCTTGGTTTTTCCCGCCAAATCTAATTCGTTTGTCATTGACCAAATGTGCTCGGCATTCCCAGTGCCAGGAATACGCTTTAGTGCAAGGAGCGTGCAACAGCCGGCCCCCTTAGGGAAACAGAAACACTTGAATATCGTGTCTGAAAATAATATTTTCAGCTAAATTTTCAAAGATGCAAACCCGCTTCCTTTTAGCACTGACATGTACATGTCTGACACCCCAAACCTGACTCAGTAGTGTACACTGTTCTCCGCTGCGAATTAATCATAATCGTAACCTTGCCTTCTCTCCATAACCCCAGCCAACTCGGAGTGCGTGATCGGCCAATCCCGTGGATGCAGCGGGCGGAAAAAACGGTGTCGACCGACATGCCAGCAACAGCGGCCACATGTCCGCCCGGACCGAGAAAAACTCGTCTAGTGCCTGCCCGCCAAATTCGGGGTACTCGGTTTGGTGCTTGGGCTTGGTTTGTGTGGCGCCTTTCACCCCCGCAATCACATCCTCTGCTGTCAACCCCATTCCAAGAAAGTCTGCCAGAGGCTCTGCCACGAGCTGGGAGAAAGAAAGAAAGAGAAAGAAAGGTGGAATGAAATGAGGAAAAATGAAATAGAAGGGTTGAGGAGAGGTGGAGATTGGAGGAAGGCAGGGGGGAGAGGCTGCAGAGAGAGGAAGCTAGAGACAAGAAGGACGAGGAGAAGCAATCGGGCAGGTGTGTTGCATCATGCAAGTGGTTACCAATCAGGTGGTTACCAAT